TATTATAGTATTAAAATTATTTTAAAAAAATGGAGTTTTTCTAACCATGATTTTCGCATACAATTATAATCGCAAACATCAAACTTTTTTCACAGTGCGATTTCTAGGAAATTCTGTAGACACAAAGCAAACATATTTATTATTTGCACAATGATATCAATCAGAATTTCTCCTCTGCCCGTTACTGAAATTTACCCAATTAGCTATTTAAAGCGAACGAGTCTTCTGTTCGGATTGTATTGTTGAAAGTTGTGAGTTTTGCTGCGTATTAAAATAATTGCGCAAGAATAGCTGGATAGAATAAGAAATGAGTGACAGGTCGAAAAACTGTCCAGAGTTCAAAGGGTCAAATCCTTCTCGGAGGCGGCTTCGGCCGAATTATTATCGATCCACTCGCTCGTCGAATTCACGAGGTCGCGCGGCCTTCCGCGGAGCGTGACAGAGCGATCGTCTGTCGCGAGTTCACGTGGCTTCTATTGATTTACTACAAGCCCGCCGGTTTCGCGAAAGACCACACCGCCGCCACCTGCCTCCTCTGCCGCCGCCTCCGCCGTGAAAAGTTCTCCCTCCCTCCCCCTCCCCCGCCCCCTTCGGATCGATCCGGTGTCAGTTGGAATCTGCTCGTAACCTGCTGTCTGAAGTATACGGTCACGCTACTCCGTAACAATGTGTCACGGAGGTTCGTTGACACGACGTGTCGCGTACGGCACGACGATAAACCCCTCGCGATCCGCGAGAGTTTCGAAAAGCGAAAGAGTTTTGCTTCAGGATGAATTATTGCTTGATAAATCATGTACCGTCGAAACTAGTTGAACCGAGTCCTCGCTAAAATGTCCCAAACGCTATATAATGAATAATAATAGCTTGATTTTGACGTTTAACCGACGTGAGAGATAATGAATTGTTGTAAACAATCAGTTTTATCCCACGTATCTCGATTTGTTCAAGTAAGATGTCATTTGGACTTAAATTTATAAGTTTGCTGCAAATATGAGAATGTAGCACTCTTTTCTTTAAGTTAATGTGATTATTTACAAAATCTAATGAATCCATACTTACAGAGAGACAGAGAGAGAGAGAGAGATATCTCGATATTTTATTCAACGGAACGAGAAAATATCACTGTAGTGGCGCTGACAATGTCATATTTTGGAGTAAGGAATATAGGTGAAGTAATGAATTATAAATCTCACTCAAAGAAATGTTGTAAATTTTTAAAAATAGGTTTCATAAAATATAAGCGCGCTGTAAAAACGACTTTCTCATTTAGCAAAATACTAGAGTTATCTGTCTAACGCGATATTCTCTAGGCGACCATTCAGTGACACGTTTGCAATGAGAAATCGATTGTACGATATTACTTGAAGAATAAAAAAAGTGAGAAGTAAGAAGTCATAAATTTTTTTGAAGTTCTTGCCGAATTATTAAGAAAAGATGAAAGAGCCATCACGGTTGACGGAATTCATATCGTCTCTTCTTTGGACGTGAAGAAGCAAAGTTGAGTAAGAATCATTGAAATGCTGAACTACTCCCAAAGCCACGTAAGAGTTGTACTTTACACTATACAATCAGTCGACAATGTATATGATAAACTTTTGCGTTCGACAATATTAATCGGCAACATAGAATACTTCTTGATGAAAATAACAGCTTTATACGCAATAAGTTCTCTTATCGATGATTTCTCTAAAATCAATCTAAGGTTTCTCTAAAATCACAATTGACGTAATCGACGATATGCTCGGCTCAGAATACATTACGTCATTTTCAATCTTCTATAACGTGAACAATTATTGATTATGCAAGAGCGAACAATTTTACTAACGAGAGAGGGAGAGAGAAATTTAATCGATAGAAAAAAGACAAAGTATCTACTGTACTGAAATGTGTAACAAAAATGAATAGATTAGGTGTTGACAGTACGCAATAAGAATACTTGTATAGCACATAAATCATTATGCTTCATTAATCTGGAATTTATCATTTCATATATAATCAACAGTACATATAATCCAACACTTTAACGAAGTAAAAAGATATCGAAGAAAACGATATAAATGGCATCGATTACTTGCCTAAGGGTTTAATTAAAATACGTTACGAAATGAATAACTATCTATATTGAGATTAAGAGGATCAATTCCAAAAATCTCCACGAAATAGAATAATATTTCTTGGCATATCAACGATCACGTCAATTGCGATTGTAAGAACGTTTATTACGTTAGAGCGTAAGATTGAAATCAGGCGTTTGAGTTCATTTTAATTCTTTCACATGCGACTGCCGATCGACAACAAACTTGATACATGTAGGAATATCACAGTATATCGCAGTAGCGAATAGAAGCTACGAAACCGCAACTCTCGGTACACGTCGCGTATCCTCGATATATCTCGATTACGTCACCTCAAGTGGTATGTCCGATACCACTCTCTCCTAATTTTTTGGAAAACTAAATCAAACGTGCACCTGATACGGCGCGACCATGACGTATTGTATAGCATCATGCAACAGCAACGCCACGCGCATTTTCAAAAGGGAATGTGTGTCTGTGTGTATATATATATCTGCGGAAAGATCACGTAAGTCCACCTGCCGTCAGAGGTACGCAGGATCAAGGACAAGTCGACACGACGAGGAAGTCGATGGACAATTAGACGAACAAACGGACGGACGGATGGCGGCGGAACGGAGGGATGGAACATGATGAGGGGTAAGAAAGAGAGGGAGAGACACATTAAAGGAAAGGACACGAGGCAAGGAAAGAGAGCAGATCGTAGGCCGCAGGGCGTACGGGCTACATCCGCACGTACCTCCTTACTTCGGCAAAATCAATAACCTGTTTGGGGGGTGTTAGGAGAGAACCTAAGGAGAGAGGCCGTAGCGCGGCACCGCCACACGCCGGAGATCCGCGCGGTAGATCCAGGTGGTAGCTGATTTTGATACATACGCTGTCCGCGTCAGCCAGATGCTACAGCGTTCCCCGTGTGTGCCAAGTGAAGTCGGCTCCTCCCGACCAGGACCCCGGTGGTGCTCCGGCGTTGCGCAGGAGTACGAGGACACACACACCTTCCCTCACCCCCCCCCCTGACCCCGGTGTATGCCTTCCCTCCCCCGCGAGTTCCTCCGCACCTGCGACACTCCCCACGTATACGTGCAACCTCCACCCCGGAAACCACCCCGACGGGAAAAACAAGCCGCGCTCGCTCTAACCGGGCGGGCGAGAGCAAGCAGGTATATATCCGGACGGATCGTTGTGGAGTAACCGCGAAATTCGAGCGGCGTGTCCACGTACACGAGCGGGGCTCTGCGTCTCGCTCGTCGGGTTACACCAGTTCACCGCTTACTGGGAACCGGCGTCACTGGTCGACATTCACTGGAAACTGCACGGCGACGATGGCGTGTCCCGTCGAGGGGATCCAGCTGCGACAACGGCAGCGAAGTTCTCCCCCCGCACTTGCGCTCCGCGGGCACTTTCACCCGCAAGTTCCCACAAGGAGTCGCGACGCACTCCTTCGCGAAGCATCCACCGGCGCGGCCCGAATAACGATCGACGCGAGATGCACGAGATTAACACGATTACTCCTGAAAGTACCGACGACGGCTCTACGCACGACTGCTCCCTATTCGACGGGGCACACTCGGCGAGTCTCTCTTCCGAGTTAACACCAGGGACAACGTCGCGCCGACCCCTTTTGCGCCCTTGGGTGGCGCCCTCGGGAAAGGACAGGATACCCCGGCGCGCGTGCAATCGTCGCTTCTTCCGCTTATACCACACACCACGCTTCTTCTCCTCTCCGGGCACCTCTGCTTCTCCGCTTCCCTCACGCGCAACTCCGAAGCGAGGCGCAACTCGGGAGAGAACGCGGCGCGCGCGCTTCGAGCTGTCGCGGCTGTGGGGCGCGGACCACTACCTCGACGAGCCTCCCGGATCGTTGGATAAAACTTGGTGGGGCCGTTCCGGTCGACGTGCGAACTCCCCACCTCTTCGTCGCCGTCCCCACCATCGGATGGTCGACCGACGGTCTCTTCACCGCGCACCCCCTTCGTTCCCTGAACGGTGCCGGTCCCTCGTCCTCTCTCTCCTCGCCTGTACTCGGACGACTCTACTATCACAGCCAACACCACCACCACCACCACCGTCACCACCGTCGCTGCCATGAGGAACGTCGAGCAATATCGTCACCCCTTAGGGGAGGGAGGGGGGTTGCAGGGTGCGCGAGCGCGCGTTCACCCTCGCGCAAGAGCCACGCTTCGGTCGGTGTACGTCGCCTGCGTGCCGTTAAAGTTGCCCTCGCGCGCGTCACCCCCAACACCGACATCCACGATCGAGAATGAAGATAATGCGACGAGTAGTGAGGTCGGCGGCGGTGACCACGGGGAGGTTGGCGCGACGGGGGAGGGGGCGGGAGGGGGGGGGT